TACAGTCAGAGACGATAAGGGATGTGGGAGAAGGATTGTGTGGGTGCTATGAGGTGGTGCAAAAATGGTGGGGATGACTTCTACAAGATATTTGTCATGATTATTGCCCTTTTATCATATTCTCTTGCTGTAAAAAATAACATAAAGTAGATGCATGAAAAAATATCTCAGGCTGAAAATTTATTTCGATACCTCAAAGAAAAAGAAAAGAAAAAGATATAAGGTAAAATTTTCAAAAATGCTCCAGTGATTTGGGTTCATTTCCAAATGTAGCATAGCATGCGTAGCAGTAGGAGTCCACTTCCTAATTCTACCTGTGTGAGAATTACTTAAGCCTATAACAACCATATAGACTCTCTCCTTCTCCATGGGATGAAATAATCATAGCCAGAGGGGAATGAGTTCTCACTATCTTGTATACCTGTTTTAGGATGAAAAGAATTATAATCTGAAAATGTATTTTTCTCCCCAAATGCTGTACAGGGAGTCTAGGCAACAAGCAGAGACATAAGCAATCAAATATCTGCCATCTAATACTGGGTGAGGTGAGTTCTGTGTTTAGTATCTAACTCCCCTTTCAGGCATTCACACTGAAATTAGACACCTAAACATCTTTTTGTTTCTGACTACTATGTATCTAAAAGCCAAAATTCATAAATGGGACGAAACAAAGTAGGTGCCTTGTTGAGTTCAATGGGAGAAAATGAACCTGTTCCTAGTTTAGTCCTGTCTTGTTTGCAGAGAGGATAAAATCCAACTGGTGGGTTTGCTGGTTTAGAAATAAGTTGAAGATTTGCTGGCAACACACAAGAATAGTCTGAATTGTCTAATGTCAGCCTAGAGAACACAAATTGAATACAGTACAGATGAAAACAAAAAGACAACCCTTTCTTCCAGCTCCACACACATACACACACAAAATCCACAATATCATTGTCATGTATACTACAAGTGGGTCTAAGGGTTTAGTAGAATTTAAATTGTAGTACAAAAAGTCTACTTTATGATATTTAGGATCAAACTCCTCTATGCTTACAGGATGTGCAAATCTTACATTGTTCTCAACTGCCTTGAAAAGCCCTGCAATATTAAAAACAGCTCTCAGGTTTTGTGGTTTTTTTGAAGCAATAAAGAGTGTAATCTAAACCATACGTATTTTGTTGCCAATGATGTGACTGATTTTTAAGAAATACCTTTACCAAACAGATCAAATAAAACTGGAGATCTGAAAAGTTATATTGTGTGTAACGTCTAAGCTGCAACTTTGCACACAGATTCAGCCAAGATTAAGAGCTACCAAGACAAACAGCATTGTGTTTGGTGCCTCTGACTCCACCATTGCACCACTTATGTGCAGTTGTCCATCAAAGATCAGAAGGTTTGCAAATCCCTGTTCAAGTCCTGTGGCTTTATACACCTTTTATAGTGATGAACTCTGAGGTCTGGGGTTTTCTTGTAGTTCTCCATATAGAGTTCTTCTCCACTTAGGTTGCTCTGTTGAACTTTTGCTGTATATATTTTCCACAACAGTTTTCCCCATAGAAACCAGGAATAATAACTTTAAAAAAAGCTGTGGAAAATATTTCAAATAATACTAAGCTTCTACTGCTTCCCCCCTCCAAGCTTAATCACAATAAATATTTAAAAGGGACAGAGAAGTTATTCAAAGACCAGGCTGCATTTTCCATTACATTAAAAAAATTAAAATAGAAAATGGAGTCTTTGCTACTTCATTAACATTTTCTTGGTAGATCCATTTTTTTTAGATAAAATGAGCAATGTGTAATTAAAACAAATACAGCAGACCTTTCTTTTTTTTAAATGGGGTTGTAAGCGTAAATAAAATTAATCTTGAAGCTGTGCCAGTCTGATCTTTTTATATGATGACACGAGTTCTGACACAGCACTAAGGGGATTCTGTCACTGTGATAAATTTAGAAGTAAAATAAAGACTTGATAGACCATAACATATAATTTACTCCAAACATTTGATATATATTGCTATATTAGCATAAAGCCCTGGTATAAATTATATACGTCAGTTTAAAATAAGCCAAGGAATTTATCCCCACTTGCTCAGCAAAATATCCATGAGAGGTTTTCTCCAAAACAGCTACTTTAGTGTCAACAGTTCAAACAAAATAATCTGCATACATGGGTGAAATGATGGTGATTTCAGCTATTCACCTAAGAAATGGGAGTGACTGGGAGCCCTCACGCAGCTACCTGAGTTTGGCTAATGCGTGGTAGCTCATTACAGTCCGGTGACTTGATTGCTAGTATTGGTGTGCCATAAAGCACACGTAGAGGGAGACCTATGGACTGGTCTGCAATATGGAAAATGGCAGAGCGAGCTGTTGTCAGCTGAAACCAGAATAGTTTGTATGTGAACACTGCCCAGAGTACAGACACCCTTCTTTTCCTGTTTAGTGAGTTAAATAAACCAAGACAATTCAAGTGGAGAGTGCTCAGCTGAGAGCTATGGTAAATTAATCTATACCCGCAGTTGCTGTCGGGTCATTTTCCTCACGTTGATGAGCCCTAATTTATTAAAACCTTTTTCCACTCCTGCTATTCCTCCACCATTTAGGTTTCTTTGGGTTTAGCCGGTCAAGCTGAGGGAAGCCCCCAACAGCATGGAAATGATTGCCAGCTAGGCCCTGGATTTCGCCTGCCGTGGAGCAAGGAGCCAAAACTCAGCAGTTTCATTAAGATCCGCTTAGAAATTTTTGCACTTTCCCTTCCCAAGACCATCAGGTAAAGCAGCTTCTGTCTTTAAGCTGCCCATCTGCCATGGTCATCCCCAGGGGCAGGCGGAGAGCAGCAAGGCTGGCCAGGGCCCTGTCGCCGCACCGGCCGCCGAGCATCGCCTCTGAGCAGCTGCCTCCGGCGTGGGGCCGCCACCCCGTTGGTGGTGGTGCTGGTGCCTGGTTTGGTTCTGTATGGCTGGCACCTCAGCGTACGCCTGAAGTAGCTCCAGCTTCGGGAAATGTCAGTAACAGAGTGCTCATCTTCTGGAGGCTAACGTGGGAAATTTGGTGAAACATTGTACATGGGGATACCTGAGAATTGGTCTGTGTTTTTTTCCATTCACTTACAGGTCCAAACTTACCCTGAAACATTTTGAATTCCTCTTATTGCTTTTTCTTTTTTTTCCTTTCCCCCCTGGCAAATTGAAAAACCCAGATACAAAAAATCATTTCAGATCAGAGCAGAATACATTCTGATGTTTAAGAGCTTTTCATTTTTCTTAATTCTTTCAAAAATGCATTTCAAAACATTTTAGCTTGTCATGTAGAGGAATGAAAGCACTTCATTTAGAAACAGCAAAATAAAACACGCTGGTTGCTTCCATGTTCATTTTACCTTATTTTTTTCCTTCCTGTTTAAACAGTTTGGTAGAAATGACAGAGCTGAATGACAATGAACCAAATTTTCATGTTTTGGTAAAGAAAATTGTGACCGTAAATGCTACTCACTTCTGTCTGAAATGATATGTATTTTCAGAAATATCACATGACAATGCTATTTTAGATGATGATTAGATGGGTTAAAGATTTTATTTTTTATCTTCTTTAATGAAGCATGGATATACAGCAGAACTCAGAAGCTTTCAATCCACAATCTTTTTTCTAAAGCATTGAACTTTAATGCATGAAAGGGAAGGGGAAAAAGCAAAAAAAAAAAAAAAGTAAATGGAAGTAAAAGATTTCAGTTGCCATGGAGGACTGTTGAGGACTGTCTCAGCTGCTCAGTGTAATGCTGTGTTGATGTTTCAAGTCAACGGGAGATAACAAAAGGCACTAATTTTCTCTAGATCTGAGGTTTCCATTTTCTTATCCCTACAATCATAAGGTAAGAAGCATTAGAGAAAAAGGAGCAAGCTGGGTTTGCCAAGATTTTGATGAGTCCTGACAGTGTCTGGCCTCAGCCATCCAACTGTATTCTCAGCTCAGAGCTCACTGTAATCCCTTTCATGGCATGAAAACATCTTTGATCGCAATCTATTGGAAACCATTTGGTCTCTAGTGATCTAGATGCAACCGCTGGATTCTGCAAGGTCTAAGCAAATTCTGTCCCAAGGGCCTCCAGCTCTGGTACCTAACGACGGAACAGCTGTGCTCAAAACCACCCTGCGCTGCCATGTGTCCTGTGATGCACCACCAAGTCCCAGATCTTTGCTATTTGTGGCCTCGAGTTGCAGGGCTCAAGTGAAACTATCATGATGGAAAATCTGAACCTTGGTATGTCTTGGTTCAATGGCACTGAAAGAAAATGAGCAAACAGACCAACCAACTGCATGTAGGCTCTCTCGAGATTTCTTTCTCTCTAAATAAGCATATGCAATGTATTTTGCAGCCAAAAAATATTATCCCTTGTAAATAAGGGTTATGGTATTGAAAACGATATTCCTGGTATGAGCATCAAATTAGTTTTGAATTTTATTTCAAGTTTTAAAAAATCTGTTTCAAAAGAAACAGATCTGTGTGATCAAAAAGTGGGATTTGGTCTGTATTTTAAGCAGAAGAGTCTGGAGGGATCTAGGGTAAAATAAAATATCTGAGTAGACTTCTCTTTTCTCTTCTGCTCAAGATGATGTACAAAATTATGTTGTCAAATTCAAATTATCCAAGATTAATTCAAAAGAATTCAAAAGCTGAAGCTCCCCAAGCCTGCCAAAAGTTAGACTACCTTGTCTAAATCAATTACTTCAGAATAACCGGCTGCTAATAGTCCACGTGCTGTAACGCAGCCTCTTGGAATCTTACTACTCCAGTGAGGGAAAAATGAAAATATATAAAAGCAAGCAGAAGAAATCCCAGGGGACTGTAGCTTCAGGAGGTGAAAAATTGGTCTCTTTGCTTGCCTATCTCTTCCCAGTTTCCTGCCCCCTTCAGCGTATGAGAAAGACAAGAAGAGTTTGTGCACTTTGGAAACTCGATAGGAGGCAGCAGCTGATCTTCCCATCACCAGCCTAAAAATAATCCACTCCAGGGCTTGGAGCAGCTTCACTAAGTGGAGGAAAATCCTGCCATCGGCATGATATTGATCACATAGCACAACCGAGTGACAATTTGGGTTGGTATTTTGTTTTTGTGTTTACAAAGGTAAGCTACAGAGTTTGATCTAACATTCAGCAACCAAACGGGGCATGCAATGACCCTCCCCCATTATCTCCCACTAACCACCTCCTCCTCCTTCCTTTCATATCTGTGGGACAGGGCTGCTCCTTGTTCTTTCCTGGGATTACAACTCCAATCTCTTTTTCCTTTTCCTTTTCCATTCGCAGGCATTCTCAGCCTTTACCTTCCCCTCCTGCTGATGTTTTCTTTGCTGCTGTTCACAGGGTTATGTTTCTTTTTTTAAACTGTCCTGTCTTGGCATGTGAAGTCGAAGGTTTTACAGCAGGCAGTGTAGCACGCTGATGTTTGAAATCGCATTGTGTTAAGAAGCTTACCAAAAAAGAAAAAAACAATGGATTAGATGTGTGAGACCACTGCAGATGTTTGTGTGAAATGCTTTTCAGTGCCAATAGCCTGTTTAGCACCACTGCTGTTGTGATTTTCTCTGTGTTTGGAACCTGAGCCAAAAACCTACCGAAGTCAATGAGATTCTTTGCACTGACTTCAATAACGTTTGGATCAGGCTGCTGGTATATGGCAGTTAGCGATGTGAATGCTGACAAGTATCAGAGGTAATTCATCACCTTAAGGCCCAAGGTAATTGGGACAGTGCTTAGCAAGGAAGCAGGGTCTATCTAGAATAGATAATCACAGCTTAAATAGAAATAAAAAGGAAAATTATGTTTTGTACAGGATCGTTTTTGATAAAATAGATTTTAAAGGGGCAGTACTTTTTGCCATTACCTTAGCAGAACTCTTTGCAAAAAGGGCATAGACTATAGATCACATAGATTGTGTTAGGTCCAGTGCTTTTAGGAAGGTAAGAAGAACAAATTAGTAGGTTTATACCTAGAAAGGAAAAAGATTCAGAGCACTAACTTAAAATCTGTGGCAAAACTCAGAGTTAGGCCTTCCATTGTGCTTATCTAAACCTCTAATTTCATAATTTGTCCTTCATTAAATTTTTCTCTGTGAAATTCAATAAGGAAAGACAAATTCTTGCTTTTGTAATGACTTAATTATTCAGAAGATAAGAACTAACTACTTTTATAAAACTCTGAGTACTTTCTCCATCCTGCATCTGTATGCATACACAAATCTATCTATATATGTATATATATACACATGTATATATGCATATATGGGCATATAATGCACATTGTATGCAAGACCAAAAAAAAAAAGAATCTGAACCAAGACCCAAGTATTCTCTGTAAGCTGATATATTTTAATTAGGAAGGGCAGCTATTAATTTATATATATTTTTTTTAAATATAGGCAACAGAACTACTGAAGTAAATGTTTTTCAAAATATTCTTATTTCCCCCACACAAGGTCCACCTGAGGAGTGTATTTATACTCTTTTCTTTATAGTCATAAGTATCTTGCAGAGCATGCCAAACAGAGTGATAATCCAGGTAAGATTAAACTCTTGAATATGAAGACTTTTAAGTCCACTTTAAAAGACCCTAAGGTAATTAAAATGTCTTTAACTAGAATTCTTACAGTTTTGCACTTGGTGAGGATGTTCTCGTAATTTTTATGGAAATTTAAATTATCTAGCATCTTCCCATTGTCTTCTTCACAGGTGCTTATGGAAAATACATCTCAGGAACTGGCCTACTGCCCTTGTGAATCCTTATTTATGCTTGTTAAAATGAGATTTCTAAGTGTTTAGGTTCAATGCTATATCATATTCACGTTTACAATTTTGTCCTATTTGTTTTCTTCTCAAAACCTTTTTCTTCTTCACAGTGAATATTTATTCCTGGATGTCTTTTGTACTGTTTTCTGTTTATTATATTATGACTATGTCTGTACAACTTAGCCCAAAACCAGAAAGTCTCTACTTGCCAGTGATGGGGATTTTAGCATGAAAATTTAAATGCTTAAAGGACATAAATTTTTTTAGCTATTTCATTGCAGGGTGAACTGCTGTTCAGATAGTTCACATACTCATTAAAGTAAACCAACAGGGAATCAGATTCCCAAATGATGTAAAGGAGAGCTGAAACTTGCCTTCCACTATCACCATCATGGGCCCATCCTCCTGGTTGTTCTTTCCATTCCCTACAAGCTTTAGCTTGTAGCTGGCTGCTCAGCAAAGGCCATTTTAAAAGGGAGAAAGAAAAACCATCTCTGAAAATTTCTGACCAGTTCTAGAGTTTGTAAAGACTGAAGTTAAAGTAAGCAATTTGTCAATAACTTTGAAGGACAAAGGCCTTCCAGCCTACAGGTGTTAAAACAAAAAATTACCTGGTATTTGGCACCCCTATTGGGGTGCTGAATGTAGCTGGTACCCTCAGAAAGCACGTGCTTGTTATCAGATGATCATTATCACATCATTGCATTTCCCCTGACTGAAATGCCTGGTTAAACCTAGTATGCTTGGCAACATTGTGAAGTATAACACTCCTGCTGTAATTAGTAGTGAAGCAAATACATTGTGATGTACTCACTTTGATGTAATTACCCCACCATAATTTGGTGGCCTACTATATTCAACAGAAAGGGAAATTATCTCTCAGAAAGCCATTTTTTGTAACAACTATGAATAACGTCTTCTTAAATGAGTATATGAGGATCTCAACAGTTATTCTGAAAGGCTGCTATTACCTGATGAGAAATAGTGGTCAATAACTTCAGATGACCAACAAATTTCAAAACAACTTGCTACCCTTTCACCTGTCCTCTCCTGAATATTCATGTTTGGGTTCTCCATTTTATAGTTTATTGTTTTAATGGGGCAGTAGGACTATTCCCATTTTTTGCAGATGTTGCTGTTCACTAGACAAAGCCATCTGCCTGTAAAGAAGACTTCAGCTCCAAAGATTCCAACCTGAACAGGAGCTTAGAGAAAAGGTCTTGGCAATCTGTATAAGAAGAAGAGGCCTTTGCTTTCCCGTGACTGTCCCTTCCTTTGGGACCCATAGATAAAGATTTGCTAAGAAACTAGTGAACACATCTCTGCTGTTATGCCCTATGGCTCATGGGTCCTTGAGATAGTTCTGCACGAGCCAACTTTATAATTGAAGTATGGCAACTGCAACAACTCAGCACCGATGTCAAGCTTGCTGTGAGCACGGCTTCTTATCTTGGGAACAGCACCATGGTGATTAAGACTATTAATTCTGAGCCTGAACTAATATTTGCGTGGCCCTCTACTAGACTGTGCAGCCTACAGTGAAGCAGGCAGCTGCCTACAGCAGCAGACTCCTAAGAATAATAAACCATCTGGCTTTGCTGCTTAATTCACCTATGTACAGTTCCAGGTAGCCCAGCTTTGTGCTGCTGCCAGTGTTACCAAGGAAGGGGTCTTGGCAGGTGTAGGAGGGCAACTGCCGCTATGGAATGTGATAACCTCTCTGAGTTGCAGCAGTAGCTGCTTTTATCTCTTCCATCCCTTGACAACAGAAGTCTCTTCAAATTTCTCCTCGTGTGGCTCTGCGGCCCAGTTTTTCCTCTTCAATCTCTCCTTGCATACTTACTGTGGCCTAAAAGGTCTGTCTCCTGATCTTTGGTAAGGAGAAAATCACCTTTGGCTACACTGTTGGAAACCTTGAGTCAGCTCTGTATTCTGACTTGCTTGGGGCTAATTCAAAGATCTTCAGCGTGGCTATTCATTACAGGGTTAGGCTGTTGATCGGTGTGGTCAGCATTCTGTCTTTGGCAATGATCAGCAACTGGTGCTTAGGAAAAATATAACAAGTCTTCAGTGTATTTAATTTTGTACTTGCACAGTGCTCAGCACCGAGTGAAACAAACAGCACTTTCTCGCATAGGCAAGATACCTCTATTCACCTCTCTACAGATCTAGTTCTGACTGAAGCCCAGCATTGGCTTACTGGAAGAGTTAAAGCCAATGGAAGAATAGTTTAATTATTATTAAGGGAACCAAATTTGGTCAGTGATCAGTCATAAAAGTGTTCCGTCTTCCTTTCTAAACCCAGCTGCAGTTTTTGATGAGTTACAATAGTAAGCGCATCTGGAATTCTTCATGTTTTTTTCTAAATTTGTTGCTTCCATTTCACATTTTCATTTAATGAAATGAAATCTTATGGTTTTACAGAAGAGGAGTGAGTAGTGCATTTTCACTCTGCCCTTCGTTGGTTACCTGCAGTCAAGATCTTCCAAACTGTCTTCATTTTCACGCTTAGTTTTTTGAGTGAAAATTTTCAAAACTGGGCCTCATTAAAAGTTGGTATAGCTGAGGCCTTTTAAAACTCTTTAAAATTTTCAGAATTATTAAAGGTCTCTTTAGGCTTAACTCCCAATACTGAAATACTGTTTGAAAATGCAACTTAGTCTCTCAAATTAGTCTGAAGCTTTTGAACATGCCACTTGCACTGTTTGCAGCTCTAAGAATGTGTTCATCTGTAGCTATGCTGAACTTTGCAAGCATGGGATCTGAGTGTGGGGATGAGCAATTTTGCCATTATATTATCAAATTGTCCTTTGAAGAAGACTGAAGGTTACACTTGGATGAGCAATCGCATCTGGAAACCTGTATGGTCTAACTCCTGTTAACTTTGGTGGAGATGCCTAAGCACTGTAAAATGCCCCATGCTATCTAAAGCAATCAAGGACTTGTTCTTCTGCCTTAGGGGCTTTTCCTTCTGTCCTTCTTTGGAAATGAACACAGCTTGTTAAACCTTGAGGCCAATGAAAATGAGCTTCTGGAGGCATGCTCTGATGCAGCAGAAAGTAATGGCTAATTTCAGCCTCGAACCAAATGGCAGTCTCACTCGCATTGACTGTAAATGCAAAGCATCCTCCCTTACATGTCAGTAAAATTTCATCCAATGTATTTCCCCTATCTGTGAAACTTGAGCAAAGAAGTAGGAACTATGTGACATGCTTTATGCCTGGGGTGATGAGCCTGTGCACCAGTGCATCTCCAGAGCCTCCTGTGTATGTAAGTTTTCAAAAAAACAGAGCAAGGTCCAGTGGTTTGAGTCACATGGGCAAAAGTGTGGAGGGTATATCGGATCTGCCTTCTGCACCAGAAATGCATGGGAAGGGAATGACGGAGTGGTTTCTTGCTCCCTGTGAGGCACAGTGGAGATAAAATTATTTCGTAGAGCTCTAATGTACTGCAGTGTATTTTCATATGCCACTCTTGAAGATACAGAGAACTACCAGCAGCCTGTCTGTGTAAACACCAGAAAGTGTCTGAAAGTTGGCATACATCAACAGAGCAGAACATGTGTCCTCCGCTTCCAGTCATGGTTCATTTCTAGCCCAGTGGTAATGGACAAATGGATGAAAGAAAGTAAGGGAGGAAGGGAGGAAGGGTCACTGGACTATTAATGCTTCTGCAGTTCTTATCTCTTCTATTCCCTATCAGTGCCATACTGTACTAGATGTGTGTCCTGAAGTGGGTGCTGCTGAAAAGGGAAGTTGTACCTGGTGAGCGTTTTATGAGGACAAATCATAAGCTGCTGGGTCAACACAGCATCATGACACTGATCAGAATGTTTTGATACATTTTAAGCCTGTGGAGGTTTAATGAAACATGGTCACTGGATGTGCTGATCAATGACTGAGTGTTTTCTGATTTTAAATTTGGGAATTTATTGTCAATTACCCTATCTCATTTCATTGGCAATGCAATCTTTTTGATTTTCTGGTTTCTTTTACAAACTAGCCAACTTAGGCTCTTTGATTTTCTCTCTCATTTTAAGAGAAGACAACAAAATTCTACCTCTTTTTCGAAATGAACCTGTGACATAAGTATTGTGAATAGACTGCTTATACCTGCTCTTGAAAATTATCATCAGTATGATGGGCACTGTCTCTATACATCAGTAGTAACAACAGGACCAGATGCTTTCCTCAGCCCTGCCAACATGCAAAAAGACGGTTGGTTTTAAGAGTATGCTATTGGACATACTCCATCACAAAACGAGGCACAGCACAGATTCTTGTGAAGATGCAGATGTGATTCTTAAAAGATGCATCTTTCTTGAGAGCTTTTAGGGACTGTTGTTTGAGGTGCAATATGAAACCTCTACAGACTGATAATAGGTCCTAGCTAGCAGATAGCACTCTCCATGCAGTTAATAATCCTTTCTTCCACAGGAACATCTACTGCCTATAGTCCATTTCCCTTCCAGAAAAATGTTAAAAAACAACAATTCCCTTAGCTTCTCTTGGACATGGTTTTAATCCTTTCTCCCAGATTTATTTTTGACTAGAAGCCAAAAGCTACACTGGAAGTCAGTGATTCAGTGCTCGTTTGAACCCAGGATCCTCCTGCCTTTCGGTACCAATCCAACCACTAGACCACAATAGCATCTTACGCTGTCTCAGAAAAGAGTCCTCTTTGTGGGAAAGGGAGGAAAATTCCCAGTAGAACTCCCTTGGACTTCTGACCTTCGATAAAAATGAGGAAACAACACTTCTGATTTTCAAGAGATTATCATTACCATTATGTTTCTCTTAAAGGAGACATGTCAAGCTTTTACAGATTAAAACCAAGCAATCTTTGTGTAGTTTTTTGAAAAGTTCTGTATTTGTTTTGCTAATAACTCCTCAGTCTATTCAGACAGAATTCATATTAACATACTATTTCTTTTGTCTTGTTAGTCATATGCAATTATGAATATATTTTTATGTAAAAATAAAATGATAGAATGATAGTGGTCATATTGCTCTATTCATTATAGAGAATGGGCCAAACTCTTCATCAAATTGTGTTCTACTGAAGATTGAGTGTGTTGCCCGTCAGCTTTTGCACCAGAGTAAGTACATGCATGCATTTTTGCAGGATGCGGCCCACCATATGACTCTGAGTTATGCTTAACTTCTGGCAAATCTCAGACCATAAAGTGCTGATATGTTTGGAAAAGGGACTGCATTTATCACATTCTTTTCAATGAAACTCCTTTACAAATTTCACTGATGTATTTCATATATGGATTATGCTTTTCAGATCCAGCAAAAAGTTAGTTAAAAGCAAAAAGGGGGTTTAGCAGAGGTTCAAAGTGCCTCTTTGAACTCTATATTCTTTTGAAGATCTATACGTTTCTGTTCTCTCTAGGGGAGTACTTCAGTAGTTTATGGTTACCTTGTTATGTTTACCTTGTTTAAACAACTACGCTCATAAAACTAATCTGAACTATTTGAAGAAAGAAGGAAAGGGTTTTCTTCTTCATTCAAGTAACTTTTTTAAAACTATGTTCATGCATTTTTTGCATGTCTATATTGTTCTGGTTCTGCAAAACTCATTAATGCCAATGTTGTTGCAGAAAGATGCATTCACCAAAGTATACATATACTTTGCTGAATTAAAGATTTTCTTTACATCTTAGTATGTAAAATTTGGAAAAAAAGATGCAAGCAAATGAGTTTACACAACTTATTTTACAGCACTATGTTGCTGTGTATAAGTCTAGGGCAAAGAAACCAGCAAGGAAACATTTTGGTTGCAATCTTGTTTCATGTTCTTATAAAGAAGAATGAATAAATAGATGATGCACACGTTGATAAAAGCCAGAAGCTGGCCATAACTCCAGGTCATACCATGGCCTATACTTTGCAAGCACGAACACATGAGCTTATCTTGGTGTACAAAGATAATCTCATAAGAAATCATGGAAGTCAGAGAACTGCTTAGATGAGGCTAAGCACATGCATAAGGATTTGCAGGATCAAGCATAAATGCTGAGTTACTGCCTACGCAATCTTCAATACAACCTACTTTGATTAAGAGTTTGGCAGTTATCTGTAATGACTAGCGTATGTGACCATTGTTGTTCTATGGGACAATGAAGAAATAGAAAATATCAGTGAATGCAAGGCTGCCAAATCACGAATATCAAAGGTTTAGAGCTTGCACTGAAAATGTAGTGCAACAAATCATATGAACAGAGATGTTGCACAGAGAATGCTGTCTCGTCAAAGAAGCAGTAACACACAGGAGTCAGCTTATGTGCATTTGAGTTTTCTTATGAGAAATGTAAATAATTTTTTTCCAAAACTTTCCTGTTCTTTCTCTGTATTCTCATAGAGCATTTGCAGCATAACATTTGTGCATATAATGAACAACAGAAGACATAGCATAGTGTATTTAATAAATAGTACTTCTAATAAATAGTATATTTAATATAAACACAGCCTTCATTCTAATGTGCTTATACTTGACGAAACTCAAAAGAATTTTCAAAATACAACTGAATTACTCTCTATGGGTTGTTCAGTGTGCTCCTTCTGTATCTCTTTATTTTTTTTTATTTTGTGTTTAGCTAAAAGGAATGCTAGCAGTCTTGGTAGTCAACTATTCTCTCTTTTTTGTAGTAGTCAGACCTTCTCGAAGCAATGAGGCTCGCATTTTGTGGTAACGACAATGCTTCAGCCTATAACATCAGTGCTGGTGTCCTAAGAAATGTCTGCTTTGTGGATGCCCTCAACTTGGTTCCCCATGTCTTCTTGCTATTTATCACCTTCCCAATTTTGTTCATTGGTGAGTTATTCAATGGAGCTGTGCAATACTGTTTGTAAACACTTGAGCATGTATTTATACTCAGTCATGTTTAAATGCTCTTGGAGGCCTGTGGTGCAAACTGTTGGATGCTTTGTATTTATTAATTTTAAAAGAGAAGAGACAGAATGGCTTGACCCAGAGGATGTGAAGTTAACCCGCTTAAAATGTTGGGAATTTTAGATATAAATCTGAATTAAGCAGCATGAAAAGACGGATGAGAACAAGAGAAATCATATCCAAATGCTTTGAAACTTCTCTCCGGAGAAATTTTCTTCAGATATGAAATTGGCAACTTGCAACCTTTGCTATTATTAGACATTAGAACACTTAGGACAGTGGGTCTGAATTCCCTTCAAGTTATGTGAATTTCAGAGAATATCCAAAATATGCAACTTGGATCTAAGGCTAGGAGAAGTGTAGGAAACTTTTAAAACAGAATAATTACTTCTTTTGCCAACATTTGTAAACAGAAGTAGAGCAAAAGAGATAATCTTTTTCCACAGGAATGAAAATAAGAAGTGATAAATCTCTCTTGAAGAATTTAGGACAGCGTAGTGGCTCTAACTTACACATTCCTGTAAAAAGCCCCATCTGAACTAGTACTCTAATGATACTTTTTCTCTATAGTTGTCTCTTTATCCCAGTTATTTGCAGTGATGAAATAAGTACAATTTAATACTTTTTCAAAGCTGTCAAACAGTGGCATTCTAACTGATCGTAGAAGATAGAGAGACTTGAATAACCGTCAAAAGGCAATAAGTATTAATAAAAAGAAATATTCTCCTGACAACTGCATGAGAAATGGCATGTCAGTTCTTCCATGTTACCTTCCTGGTGTCATGTATATACATAGTAACACATTTCTTCCATGAGGAAGATTTGAATTTGGGACTATATTCGAACTAGAGATTTAAGGACTTCCATTATGCAAAGAGACTCTGAAGTGATTGAATAATAGGCTACAGGAACCTGTGGTCTATGACACTCAGTACCTAGCAATCAAAGGTATAACAAGATCCAGTGACTAAAAACTAATTAAATAATTAAGCAAGAGAATAAGAAACAAGTTCTAACAAAAAATAACTGAAGACTGGAAAAAACACCAAGGGTTATGGAGAACTCTCTCCAACAGTGCTGGATCTTTACGTCAGTGCTGGCTCTTTCTTTGAGACGAGATGCAAGTCATCCTTGAATTACAGGGCTTCCTGCAGAAGTGTTTGATGGAAACTCAATGCAAGGTCTAAGGGCAGAGATAATCTTTTACAATATTCTGTGTTATACATCAAGTGGTAGCAGGCTGCTTTAATATTTTTACAGGTATTAGCCAATTAATTTTGGAATAATATCGCAGCCACATTTTCTAACAGTGTTAGGAAAAAAACATAATAGCTTAAATTGTATGTTATGAATGTATGTATGTATGTATGTAATTCTTTGTTTTCTATTTTGTACCTTGATTATCAGGACAAATAGTTGTTGAAGAGAGCATTAAAAGCCAGCTGGAGTCCACAGTATTGACTGACTCCAAAACTGAAAACTGATGATGAACCGTGTTTGTGCAGATGTATGGGCAAAGAGGAAATAAAAATGAAAAGCAGCTTGGGAGAGACAAAGATAGGAGCAAGGTCAAAGCAAGCCACATTAGATTAGGAAAATCTCAGGAAACTATAGAAAATGCTTGAGAGAGATATGAAGAAGAGAGAATATTTTGTTCCTTCAGTACGTTACATACTAAACAAGGATGAAGTGGTGAAATCCTGACAGTTTCCAAGAATGAATAAATGTGGGCTCTGGTTTATGTGTTTCTGAGTCACCTGATGAGCCTCTAGGCACGATGAGATGCTACATCCTTGTTTGTCAAAAGCATATCATGGATTTTAAATTCAGTTCTGCAGTTACTGAAAGAAACAGATACAATGCTCACTGCCCTAGTTAAACAACTTCAGTTTTGGTTTTGTTTCCTTTTGTTTTGTTTCTTTGCTTCCCTGAAATGTGCTGTTCTTGGGATTTTCTATGGGCTTTGGGAAGTCTGTCAGGTAATTCCAGGAGTTGCCTTACAGTAAGAGGGACATGTACAGCCATTTGGGCTGACTGACTCAGGACAGCCCTGTACCAGGGTGGGAGGGGACAGAGGACAAAGCAACATGCAAGACAAGACTCGCCATCATGAGATGCTAACCTCTGATCAGTCCTCAGCTCCCCCCAGCACTGTCACATCCGTCAGGTCCTTGGTGTCCTACTTCTTGCCAGGTTGCTGGCTTCAGAGAGGATCTTGCCTGAAAAGGATAGGTGCCATCTAAGGTGATGACATGAAAATGGGCTTCAAGATTAATTTGTTGATTAAATCAGCTGAGTCCTGGTGCTGTGCTGAAAGCTCTAATGTGGCAGAAATGCAAAGGGCAAGGAGGCTGGGCTGTGCCTGAGGCGTAGAGACTGGGAAATCGCTGTTCAGCATCCCCTGAGACAGCGCTCCCAACCAGGCCTGAGACAGAGATAATAAATATTGTTTGTTTGAAGTAAGTATATTTCTTTGAGGCCTCATTGGAGGATGCAACTTTTATATCAGTTGGAAACTTTGCCCACTGTTTACTGTGACTGGCAAAGACACGATGACGCCATCACTTAAGATCTGTCAGTCCCTGTTGTGTGAGGGTGAGACTCTGAGATGTTTCTTTTAGTTTTCTCATCTTTGTTCTTGGCCAGGGATCTCTTCTCTTTGATTGCAATTGTGGGAAGTCTGTTACGATGTTGTCTAGAGGGTCAGATCTAAATTATGGGGGGCTACATGGCAACTCAAACACTCCTGGGTCATGTTATTAGTAACAAGAGCCCCCATAGTCTTAGAGGGTTTTGTGTTGATTATATATTATTACGTGCGACCTATGGATTAGAATAGGGAAATGTTAACCAGATCACTCACTAGCTGGCTGTGAGATAACCTTCTTCTTTCATTGCTATTATTTCCCAGGCTGGGGAAGCCAAAGTTCCAAAGTCCAGATTCACCACAATACCTGGCTGCACTTCCCTGGACACAACCTGCGGTGGATCCTGACATTCACCCTTCTGTTCGTACATGTGTGTGAAATAGCAGAGGGCATAGTTTCTGATACGTAAGTGACAGTGTTTGGTGGATAGCCAAGCTAATTGCATTTGTTAATGTATGCTGATAATGTGTGACAGGCTAGCTAGTAAGGCATAAAGAGTTTTTCCCCCAAAAAGATGGGGCATCATTTCATGAACTGTCTGGATTTTAATGGGATGAAGGTGAAAGGATTGTTCTTAGCACATTGTTATTCTCCTCTCAAACTATAATGGCAAGTAAATATCGACACAAGTTAAAGCATTCACATGGAAAAAATTTTTGTGTCCCTAGGAAAGTCATATTTGTCCTCTTAAATAGATTAGCAGAACACCTAGAAATATAACAATGGTGAAAAAAGACACTGCATTCACTAATTCACACGTTATTTATTTTCAGACAAATGAAATCTCGCCATCTGCATCTCTTTCTACCAGCTATAATGGGATTTGTGGCTGCCACTGTCTCCATAGTCTATTACCATAATATTGAAACATCTAACTTTCCAAAGTTACTGTTGGGTAAGTCTAAGTCTGACATTTATGTACTCTTACAAAACCCAGTAGTTTAGCTAAAGTCAGCTTGCTTAGATTGAAGAGGATGGTAAAACGCATGAGAATATTAAAAGAGAGAGGAATAATTCTCTGCTCCTTGAACTAGTATTATTGTAGGAGTTATGGCACCTTTTATAAGGTACACACTGAAAACTATTTTTAAAAATGATGACGAAAGGAAAAGCATAGTATGCCTATTGTATTTATAGCCTGAGCTTGTAGGTATTTTTTTAACACTGCTCATTATTTTGAGGCAAAAACTTGTCCTCATTCAAAATGGCTATTTTAAAAGGCCACTTTTAATAGTAATCTGATTACAAACCATCCTGTGCAGATGGCTATTGTTTCTCAGCATCCGTTGCAGTTGATTCTGAGATTACCCAGACTAATGATGAATGCCACCTCTCACTTTTTCCAAAACAGGGTGGGGAAAGAAGGTTTAACTTTGAGAAACTGCTACCTGGTATTCACGATATCTGTCTCAGCCAGGAGATGGTCAGAAGAATTTAACTAGACATTGCAGGATAATGTTTCATAGAAGTATACGGTCCAAATTACCTATATCTCAACAATCCGAACTAGCCATTGACAGGTACAAACCAAGATGCAGGATATAATTAAATTATATTAAGTCTTTTTCAAAATGAGGTTACCTGCACTGCACTCTGCTTTTTCAAAGAGGCAATATGATATTTGCCCAGTTAAGTGACTTTTACTTAACTTCAATAATAAAGTTACCCTTCAGATTATCTTCAATGGACTTTTGTAATTGTGTGAAGACTCACCATTGTGGATCTCTTTGAAAGGTGGTGGCCCAGGAAAGAAAATAGTGACCTGGGAAAAGAAAGTGCAAAGCAAATCTCTCAAACCTGAATTCCTGGCTTGGGCTGACATCACACTGTGCCAGCCTTCAGGCTGGTGATATAGAGGATCACCATGCTTGCATTGCACTAAGCCATGGAATATTTATGTTTGAGAGAGCTAAAACTTCTGCAGCACCGGTATAGCTAATTTTTTTTTTTCAATTATGCATGTGCACCTGTTTTACAGCTCTCTTTCTTTACTGGATAATGGCCTTTGTCACCAAAACGATCAAGCTTGTCAGATACTGCCAGGATGGTGTACCTTTTTCTCAGCTGCGTTTCTGCATCACTGGAATTATGGTCATTCTCTATGGGCTGCTGATGGCTGTGGAGATCAATGTCATTCGAGTTAGGGTACGTGCTTTCTTTATCAGGATCTGAAAATATATCAATAGTATCTCGGGATGAAGATGAGTCTTTAGTCCCAGTAACTCTGGCTTGTGTCAAGTTTAGGCCCAAGTTTAGCTTAGCCGTAAATGTCTGGTTAATTCTATAGAAATCAGTGGGACCTGGCATCTCTTTAAAATGTATGTCCTTGATGTGTCCCCTGGCCTTGGTATGTATGTGTGCCTGTGTATATGTATACACACAGAGAGTTCATACGTATTTGTATAGATAGATATGCATGCATATTTGTGCATGTAAGCGTATATGTGTGTGTGTATGTAATCTATACAGTATATGCTATGTTAATGCAGATAAACTATATATGTAGTGAATGTATAAGTTAGCATACATTCTCACCCATGATAATTTAAAATATAATTATATCCCAAGAATTCTTTTTTGTTGTTGTTCAGATAGAGATAGGTAGTACTGGTAGGCTACAGAGCTGTGTCCATATCCCGTATTGCTCAATTTCTTGCCAGTTATGCTGTCAAAATGGAAATGCTCCTGTTTACATGCAAATTTACATTTAAATTCAATGTGTAATTACCTTTAAATGCGAATTTGACACTGTAGATATATTACACATATTTTTTACTAAAAATTGCTGTTAATAAGATAATTCCTGAGCACATGCTGTCTATTTTCTCCTCTCCAGAGGTATGTATTTTTCATGAACCCTCAGAAAGTAAAGCCACCAGAGGATCTACAGGACCTGGGGGTGAGGTTTCTGCAGCCATTTGTCAATTTGCTCTCAAAGGCGACTTATTGGTGGATGAATACTCTTATTATATCTGCTCACAAGAAACCGGTGGACCTAAAGGCAATCGGAAAGCTTCCAATTGCAATGAGAGCACTGACAAATTACGTTTGTCTCAAAGAAGCGTATGAGGAACAAAAGGTAACCAAAGATGTTCGTGTCAGTGTTTGGCCTTAGAAACTATAGTGTCACTTTGAATTTTTGTGATTCTATGAAACCCTAGTTTTAGGAATTTTTAACTTAGGATTGTTTGTTCCAAGGTGAAACTTGGCTTAGGAAGTTCCAATCCAATGGTTACTGTTTGGTTTTAAGTGAATTTACAGCAGGGGAGAGTTGCCAGATTGAGAGCAACTGGAAACTAAAACCATAACAGACTGATCACTTGCTAGATTTCATTTTAAAAGTGAAAGCTTTGTTTAAATCTTAGCTATTTATGACAGCATCTTAAATCAGAAGAAATTCTGTCCATAGTTTCAGCTGGAAACACTCATCTTCACTTTTTCTCCGGAAAGAGAAATAGCCAAAAACACATATCAAGAATAGCCAAAACACTGGTGTCTTGTCAACAGTGTTTTAGCCACCAATGCAAAACACAGAACCATACAGGCTGCTATGAAGAAAATTAACTCCATCCCAGCCAGGCCCAGTACAAAACCCATGGTTGGGCGAACTCACTGGGTAGGGCAGAAGTTTCCAGAGAAACTTCTGGATGCATTTAGGCAAAACTGTGGCATTTCATTTGTGCTTAAAGCTGGTGATTTCTGCCAAAAAAGGAAATATTTTGTTTTGCAGAAAGGAGGGAGGATTTGAGAGCCTGCCTCCCTGATTTGTACAGACATATCAGTTCTCAAGCATAAACAGAGAATACAGTCATTCAGAGGCCACTTTCAAAAATGTGGCATGTAGGACAAAAGCATGTAAATCCCATTCCTGCACACACCAGATAAACTTGTTTCCAAGCAGTGCATGGTTTAGAACTGCAATGCGAGGGGAAGCCAGGAGGAGCAGCTCTCTGCTCCCAGCAACTGATGGAGCCACAGACTCCTTTCTGTGCCCTCTGAAATGAAACCATAATCAGTGCAATTGTTTCTATTTTAATAGATTTAGGTTGCTTCTCTTTCCTTTTGTAGTCTATGCTTACAATACTAGAGACCAAGACCCTTCTGCTTTAAGCAGAAAACTACTGAGTCATTGGAACTGAGCTTTTCATAGCAAAGGAGAAATGCATTCCTTAGGCCAGCTCCTTAAAGAAGCATTTGGTGCCTAAATCTTACTTAAAGAGACCAAAGAGTCTTAGGCACCTATGTGCCCCGAGGATCTGAGTCTTTGTGCCATTTTTAATGACAGGTGTGATGACTGGGTGCAAGCATTTGTCTTTAGCTCATTTACATCTGCAGATACTGTGTGTGCCTGCACAAATATGCGGTTCAGATGCCAAAAGGCAATTTAAGTGTGCTATTGCTCATGTGCATGAACACAAACATTCAGTGTGTAGCTTCCCTCAGTGTGCATCATGCATGTATGAAGACTTTGCATAAATGTAGCCATGCAGTTATGTGTACCTACATTTATAAAGCTGGCTTACATCAGATTTTTTGTTTCCATAATTGTTTAAAGTCTTGAGATTACTACAGCCTCCGGCACATTTGTGCTAATATTTGAAAACAAACTGTAACCCTAAAGTAAACTGATACTTCACAGATAAAGTTAAAGTAAACCAAAGGGCTAAAACCAATCCAAAAAGCCAGGCAGTGGAACTCGCTGCAGTTCACTCTCATGGAAAAATGTGTTGGTTTGTGCATGGTTGGGCCACTAATCTTCCACAGCTGGTGAGGGGAACCCCCCAGCATCCTCTGGATTAAAAGGGATTACCCCTGCCTGTGCCTGGAGATAGCTCATCTCAGCTGTGCTCTGTGCCCTGCAGAAAGAAGGCTTCTGTTCCTTTCCAAACCCTTATCACACCTTGATGAAAGATGCTGAACATGACCATGAATATTCTGTATTGCAAAATGCCTTTGAGATAGCTCACATGACGTTGTCTTGCTATCCCTTCTGCATGCTATGAAAATTGAAACCAGCTGAGCTTCTCTACCAAATAATAGCACAAAGGAAACAAGTCAGGTTAAATTTTTATGACTGTTTTCTCAAATTCGCTGTTTTCCAAACCTGTCCAAGCATACAGGAGTGTAAACTAGAGGGTCTGAGATTAACTTTTTATGGCTGCTATATTCTGCTAAAACAACATATTGCTACTTGAATAACCATGAAGTCTGTGAACACTGGGTGGAACCTTTTCTTGTTTTGTTTGATATCAGTGGAGAACTCCTGAAATCCATATTCAAATATTTAGACAGAATTCTTCTGTCTTCATATGAAGGTTTGCCCACTGGCACATGAGACCTAACCTAACACTTCTCAGTGACAAATCTGAATTCATTATTCTGTTCTGTATTTCTTTACATTTTCAAATTTGCATCAAGCAGTTCTTAGCATTATGAATACATTCACTACTCAAAATTCTTTAAAGTAATTTTTTCAAAGCATCAAGTAATTTAATTTTAATATTACTTTCATGCTACATGGTATTTTATAGAATTTTAAAGTCAGTTATCAGTAATTTTATTATAATATTAAGTAATGTAAACCAACACAATACAAGGCTAAAAAACTGGTGATCAGCATTCTAATTGGTTATTAGTCTGGTAGTTGCTACTGCAAAAGGCATTCCAACTCTTACAATAAGATATATGTCATTTGTTACTGGTTTTGTAGATAGTTAGCACAACACAGCATAATATCATAAGCAAAAACATAGCATATGTTCTTTCAATTAGAAGATACTATAAAACCACAGGTAAAACAAGCTCTTTTGATAATTAAGCTTACTTAAATATGCTGTTTGAGTTTTTTTCCTAAACAAAGTGTTGCCAAAAAACCACATTGCAGTTGGCTTTCCTTATCTCATTATTTCCTGCCATCAATAAATATTCTAAAAGATGGACATGCTGTATTTTCTTGCTTTTCTAGACAGTCTCTTATAGAAACAGAAATACCTCATCTTACAGTATTTTTATCATACATTTTTGTTTTGGTTTCTATACAAGTGGTCTAGATGTTTCAAACCACATACTAATGCATCATACCTCCCAAAATGGATTTAGCACATTGATATTACATTTGGTTTACCCCATTAACCAAAATCCCATGTAATTTGCTCTGACAGTCAATAGAAAGTTTTACTTTTGGGATGGTATAATAGAAAATGCAATTTTTAAAGTCAAGGACCAGGAGAATTTCCTATACCTGCTATTGATGTGCCACTGCGGATCTTACCTGTTACGGCAAAAGAGGATGAAAGAAGGTGTGTTAGATAGAAACCACGGGGACAGAGCATTGCTCTTCAGCATCAGGCTGACACTGTCAGCTGCAGCACTAAGGGAACAGTCAGATTTCCATATTGACTGAGGCATACCTTACAGGTGGCTTGATTTATCAGCAAGTGCTGTCTCACTGCCCTTACTTCAACTGTTGAGTGCCCAAGGTAAAAAAATTACAGTGATTTAAAAGGCAGGTGACAAAGACAGAAAAAAACTAGGCAAGCGCCACAGGTGAGAACAGCAGTCCAGCCTGTTAGTTCACACAACAACAAATGTTACCAACCATACCAACAAAAATAATCCTTGCAAATTTGAACAAGGCACTGAGATGCATAGTTTTGTAAACTGATTAAGCTCACATTTTTGTTGCTGCAACTCTTCCCTGTCTTAAGTACAGCTCCCCTCCTTTTCTGTAACTGGATGATTTTTAACATTATGTTTTAAGATTCTTTTTCTCACCTTCCAAAAGGAAAGTATGTCCTTCCAGCCTCCTGTGCTTAGGAGGAGAAGCTCTTGGTTTCAGGTGGCTTCCCAAGCCACAGAGGCTTAAAGGGACTGGGAAACTGCAGAAGATAATCATCATGGTAATAACATTTTTCTGATGCAGAAAGCCCAGACAGAGCTTTTTATTTAATTCTTATGACATTGGCCAAACTTTCAATTGTGGATTTACTGAAACATGTCAGTGGTCGTCAGAGAGCTATAATGAGTGACAGATCATCCTTCAACACCTAAATAAAGGATAGGGTTGACACACACAACACACTATACTGCAAGCCCATAACACTGGGCCTCAAGAACCATTCTGGAAAAGAGCTTAAGACTAGTAGAAAAATCCACTCTTCTTTCTCCCCCATCCCCATTAGATACTTCAGCTAATTTGAAGTCCTGATTAAAAAAGAAGAAACAACAGTGTTTAGGAATAGAGATTATTAGATAATTTAATTTAATTTAATTTAATTTAATTAGTATTTTTTCCAGTGAAAAGTAAACAGATTTCATGTAGTGATGACAATTATTATGTGAATTGTAGTAGTAGTGAAAATGGCTATTGAAATAGTAAAATCTTATTAAAGAAATAAGGATTTACCATTGCCATTTACCAAATTTACCATTAATTGAATGCCCAGAATAGTATGTGCAATTTTTCTCCAAAAGACAGCAGATATGTTTTCCTAATAAGTTAGCTTAGGTCCTATCAAGCAGTTAAATTGCAGATCATTTATTTGAGGAGAATGACAGTAGCCTGTAGTGCAGTCTAGCTCAAAACCCATTAGGCAACAAATTCAGAGTCCCTCATCAGAAGCAGCAGTTTCATTCCTACCACTTTCTGAAATGTTAGCTCTAATTTGTTCCCGTGCTGCTTATTTCTCTGTACTTAGCTTCTTGGCATTGGGTATGACCAGCCTGGCCTAATCTCTAGAAGCCAGTAAGCAGCTATCTGGCCCTCGTGTACACTTGTACATTTTTGGCACCATGCACATATTCTGTCTCACTGTTGAAGTGGCATAAAAGGAAAAACTGAGAAAAGAGGAGAAAAGACATGAGGCAGCCAGGCAGGGTACGGGCATACTTGCTTTTCTTTGGCTAATTTGCTGGGGCAGGGGGTTGTTATAACTGGGCTATACTTCAAATGTCTCTGAGAACACTCAGGAGAGCTTGGCTTGGGTTACAACTTGCAGGCATCTGTGCTGCTTGAAAAATGACAGATGCTTTTTTAAAGTGTCAAAAGCTGCTCCCTGAAGTGCAAGGAAGCACTCTGCAGGCCATGGATCTGTTAAGTAAAACTCTATTCTTTAGACTGAAAGGACCTCAGAAATATCAGAACTCCTCTGACTAGATACAGAGATGTCCGCTGGTTGCTGTTTTAGGGCAAGAGTTGTGACACTGCATAGATTCACAGAACTGGAGGCTAGAAAGGACGCTTAGCTGATTTAATCTTACCTCTCAACATAGTCTGTTATTTTCACCTTTTTGAGCCCATTAATTAGTGATTGGCTGAAGTATCTTCCTGGAAGGCATCCAAGAGATAGAAAAAATCCAGATAAATTAAATTAAACTATATTCTTGTAGGTGTCTGTCCATGTGTTTTCCTTCAAACTCTTTCTCACATCAGAAGCCTTTACTGGATCAAGTGGTTTCACAGCTATTGTGAAAGTCAAGATAACCCATACGAGCAAGGGCTTGAAAGGTCAGACCTTTTCCTGAGCACACATGTGACAAGGAGCAATGGCTACATGCCAGCACGATTAATCTGTGTTTGCATTCCTGTGTTCACAGGTTCAGAAAAGTGTTAGGATTTAGAGGTGAGGAACCAGAGTTACCAAGAAGAGGCAGAATTTGAATTTGCTGTGAAGAATGTCTGAAATCTGTTTACATCCACAGCATGTTTGCTACCTCATCTGCTCCAAAACACCCTTCAGGAACCATTTGATCATCCAGACAGGAACGAAATGGAAGTTGCTGTATACAGCCAGGGAGGCCTCTTCTTGGTGCATTGATACCTGTTTCTCTTTTTTCCAGAAAAAGGTAGCAGACCAGCCCAATCGGAGTCCCTCCATATGGTTAGCCATGTACAGTGCTTTTGGACGACCAATTCTTCTCAGCAGCACATTCCGTTACTTGGCTGACTTGCTGGGTTTTGCTGGGCCATTATGCATTTCTGGCATTGTCCAGGGCTTTCAGAATACAACCAATAATACAAATACTACAGAAAAGGTAACCTGACAACATGGATTGAAAAACTTTGTTTGGTGTTATGTCTAGATTCATATCAGGTATTTAATACATCTGGCTGCATGCTTTTATATGTCTATGATCACTGTTGTATTATTTCCTTGTTTCTTTCAAGCAAATGGAGGGGTTTTTTGTGAGAGATGGTCAAGTTATAAACCTGAGTAGTGGAAGTCTTTGGTATGAATGCAACACAGGTAGCGCAGGCTTCCCCCAGTTGCCCAGCTGTCTGCCTCTTGGTGGAGTCATTCCTGTAGTTCTGGGGAGAAGGAACAGCTTTTCTGCTCCTCTTCAACTTTGCTTCCTCGTTTCAGGCAGGACATGCGCTGGTGGTGCCTCAGCAAGGATGAGTCTGGGAATTTTGCTTAGTTACTGTTCATTTGTCCATTTGTAGTTCGTTGACAGATTTGAGCTCTCTGAAATCTGTTTTCCACTGGGAAGCTGAGAGTAGTCACTCCCTGTTATTATCCTGCTTGTTGCTGTGACGAAATGCATTGGCGCATGTGAGAAGTTGAAAAGCATCCACTTTATTCAAAAGCATTCTTGTTACTAGAGATGCACAAAAGATGCTAGTTCACAGCTCATTTCAAGTTTCACCGAGACCAAACTTTCAGAGACCACCTCTAAGCACTGAGCAAGCCTCTGATACAGAACATTTTCTACCATAAGAAAAAGAATTTATTAGTAACTAGTAAAAAGATACAGGTAAAATTGTTTTACTAGCTGACAGCACAGAAGATATGATAAAGAAATTTTCCTACAGCTGTCTTCTGACACAGACACATCTCCATACACTTAATGCAGTGAGTGTTTTGTATTTGAATGAGCAGATAGGTATGTAATGGAATAACATTTTCCCCTCCAGATAAAGCATTTGACTATCATCACTATCCAGACATCTTCTCCTTGGCTGCTCGCTCACGACATTCATTTTCTTGGCTGATGGTCTGAATTTGGCTTTAGACTCTCATTCAGCCATTGAACTGAAGGAGAGTTTAATTGTGCAGCTTATCAAATAAAGCTCTTCATCATCCTTGAACCTCTGCGTGTTGGATTCAAGCCACAGAGTTAAAAGGCAAAGTGCATATTTTACCTCAAAAATGGGTTTTTTTTGCATGTTGAACAAACAAAGTATTTTAGCTTGAAAATGATCATTTCTGGATCTCAAATTTAGGAATCTGTACCTTGTCCGCTCCCTTTATCTTTTGTACTCTTCAGTGTAGTGGTTTTAGTTGTTGGGTTTTTTAAGTTTTAATCAACACTGGCTGAAGGAAAGATTAAAATCACTGGAGAACTTTAAACCACTCCAAGAGCCTGGCTTGGTGACAGTCACTATTTCTCTTGGATACATTTCAGAATACATTTGCTTTTGATTTATGGGTTTTGATAAACTTTCTCTTGGTTGTTCTTGTTATTATGTGTTTCTCCTTTAAATTCTCTCTAGTTTCAAGTATGTGAATTAATTGAACTTTATGCTTATTCCCCACTTAATTCCTGAGAACTCCATGTAGATTGATAAAGGTATCTACAGCTGTTATTTTATTATTGATATCCCCACTATGTAAACGTGGGGAAGTTCGATGCAGCAGAATGTTAAGAGAAGAGTTTTCAAATATATTTATCTGACCAATTGCGCACTTAAGCAACCCTCGTTTCAAAGAGCCTTGGGCTGGCTGAGCAACTTAGTCCTATTATTTCAGTGCGATTTAGGTGTCTTACAGACATTGGACCTTTTGAAAACACTGTTAGGTGCTTATAGACACCTTTTGGGTGTCAGCTGCCTGTGGCAGAGGGATGAATATGTGGTATGGAGAGGCTGGGGTCACTGCACTGAGGTGAGCCTGGATGGCTTGGAGCACCTCTCTCCTGCCTTCAGTCTCATGACGGATGGCAGTAATCCAGAGTGATGAAAGAATCTTCAAGAGGGTAGGTACGTGGCTTACTTTCCAATATTTCCCAAACCTTTCATCCCAGAATCGGGATGGGTATTTCAGTAGAACAGGCTTTTTCCTTCTTCTTTTGTTTTTTGTAAGAATTTCAGTACATCCTGCTTCCAGCTGGATCGGAAATACCAAAGGAACAGCCTTCCTTGCAGTATTTTGGTACATTTGTTTCCATTTCTGCCTGAAACAGAGCAGCACAGTGAACATAAAAACTAGAAAATGAAAACAAATGAAGTGATTTAAACAAGATTATTTTTTCCCCCCTGTTGAGGCATTTAAACCTCATTTTGTGGGGGATACTGGCATATATACTCTTATTTTATTCAGAATTCACAGGTATCATAGACTATACATCTGGAAGGAATTGTTTCCATAATATACAAATGCAACACCAGTAACTAATCCCATATAATAAAAAATATTTTCTTGCAGCTTCTTCGTGGTGCAGGTGGAATGAGCTTTATTTTCTACTGAGTAGCATTTCTATCCTACAAATCATCAGAATTTCATGGAGAAACTAAAACTAAGGCAAACATGGTGATCTCATTGTCCCTTTCCTGCTAAAACCAATTCATTTTAGAACTGCTAGAAGTTAAGATCCTTAGTCTTTGGAACATGAGCAGAATATTTAATTTGTATCCAAATGATCCTGATACACAGGACAGCGAGAAATCTGATTTCCATAACTTTCCCATAATACCATCAATATTTTTTATTCTAATGCAATGACTGAATTTCCTTTTTTCCAGTATCTCTAGAATATACAATCCCTCCTATGCTACTTTAATAATTTTTTCTTTTCTTTTCAGGTGAAGGATCCATCAAATTCATATCTTTCCTCAGAGGAATTCCTCAGGAATGTTTATGTTTTGGCAGTTCTTCTTTTCCTGGCCCTTATCTTGCAGAGGACATTCCTGCAGGCATCCTACTATGTGACTACGGAAACTGGCATCAACCTACGAGGTGCTTTATTGGTGAGCAAAGATGTTCCCATGATCTGCCAAGAAATTCACTAATAATAGCTCCAGCTTCATACTTTCATTTGTCTTGGTCTCTATCTGAAGACTCAGTTAACAATTGTTTGCGAGAAGATCCGCAGTGTATTTTTGTACAGAAAACTGGAAAAAGTAATATCACTGACACAGCCAAACGGATGGCAGCAATTCCTTTTGCTAAAAACTAAAACCATCATCCTAACATGTAGAAGTTTAACACTCACTCTGTGCATATAAGAACATATCTTTGCAGATGATGTTAGGTATAGGAAGATAAGCAGTGTTGTTTTGGCTCTGCATCTGCTTTGTTCATTTGCTTATGAGGTTACTTCTGCTGACTGTGAACAGTCGTCTGCAGAGCTATGTTTTATGGGAACATTGTCCATGTATTGTGAGTGGTGATCCTGAATATTTATGCCCTTTCGCACAGAGCCCTGTGGGATGGGACAGGAGTGATTAATCTCCGAAACTGTGTCTCTAAAACTGGCATCCATTAATGCTCTGTGAAAGTCGTGCTTATGAACTGGAGCCAACAGCTCCAGCTCAGAATGTGGGTGGGTTGGAGCAGGGATCTCCACAGACCAAACGCCGCAGACAGCAGTAGCACTGTGTGCAAAACAGAAGCTGTAACTGATGTTTTGCCAGGTGTAACTAACCATAGGAATGTCATCTCAGTGTGGAAGCTTCTGGTTTTTGCACGCACTGTGATTGATGTAGCTGTTTCAAACATTTTCTGCCTTCTCCCAGCATAGATGGTACAGACTTGGTGAAGAAAGAGTACCTGATTATTTCCTTGTGCTTTTGTGACTCCCACCTCTGAAAATGGGGACTCTTAGGACCATATGCAGCTGATGTAATTCATCATGGTCTGTAGGCACTTCTGATTAATTCTACAGGCTCTACCTTGCTCATGGACAAAACAGGGCAAAGAGTACAAATTATTTTAAAAACGTCCTTGAAGCTGCAGTGTTTGATATTTGGTCATAACTGCGAACTGGGCTTACAATATTTGTCTTCAAAATTCTGGTAGATATAAGCCCTGATTAATTTTAAACCCTGTTAAGCTCCTACAAAGTTTCTGGAAATAGATGTCCAGGTAAAGAAGAGAAACCCAAAGAAACACATACCCACCCTGATCAAAACTTCGTAGCATGAGTTTAACTATCTTATTAGAAACAAGGATCTCTTTGACAGACAGTGTCACAGAAAAGCAGGCTCACTAAATGTTCGTTAAAAAAGATCTCTGCCCAATGTCCCAAATGTTGATGTTTTCTTGTCATTTCATTCTATTTTAGATCTGCATCAAGCAACAAACCTTTTAAGAGGAACTGGAGTTTTTTAAAGTCAGTTCTCTCTCTTGTGCTTTCTCTCACTCTGTCTCCGTCTCTCTCTCTGTCTCAGGTGAGAGACTGGGAGAAGGGCTGTCTTAGGTTAAGGCTGATACTGCCATTTGAAACATCCTGCTGCTGTTGTTATTTATAATGATACCATTTTCATATCTTTTGTTTTATTCCTTTCTCACAGGCAATGATATATAATAAGATCCTGAGGCTTTCCACATCCAACTTGTCCATGGGAGAGATGACGCTGGGACAAATCAATAACTTGGTTGCCATAGAAACGAATCAATTAATGTGGTTCTTGTTCCTGTGCCCCAATCTGTGGGCAATGCCTGTTCAGGTAGAGCATCAAAGTAAGGGCCTGATTTCAGAGATACTCCAACCTGGTTGAAAAGAGTATATGTCTATGAGACTACTACAAAATCCAGAGGGGAACCTGGACTTCACCCTCATTTGCCAGGAGGACTAACAAGCAGAAACGTGGCCCATCATCTCCTCCAAGGGCTGGGAGGCTGTCTCTCCGAGGGCCAGTAAAGAGAAAGGATTTTTTTTGAGCAGGATTTCCATGTCATGGATATGGTCTGTGGCTTTAAGAATGGTGACCTGTCATCCTTTGCCTGCTCATATTTCTTCCACTACTGACACAAGTCATTGCTTTTATTTCTGCCACATGGCAGCAGCACAGGCACCAGCGCCAAGTATTGCATTTGCAGTGTCCGCTTGTAACTGCGCTTTGTGGCAGGAGCAAAAAGCAATTGAATCCTGCTCAGTGACTGACAGCAGCACCAACAGTGCACTGCAGGAAATGCTCAGAGGAGCTTTCATCTAAACAAGCTTAGTTACTGTAAACATCTGATTCTTAACAAGGCTGGGAAAGATCTGTAGGCAAATCTGTAGGAAGGAAAGGTAAAAATTATTAGCCTGAAAGAAATCTTTAAAAGTGCTGAACGACTTAATGACCTAAGCCACACTGATTTTCCATGAAGCTTGGACTCCTGTAGCACCTTCAGAATTTTAGCTCGGGGTGGGATTGTCATGTTCCTTACCTATAGGTGATCCTGCCGACATTAAACAACTTTAAAAAAGGATAGAAGCCACTCTTAGAGTAGATCAGTTTTGCTGAAATTCCTGGAACTATATCAGTAATCTATTATAATAGTCAGCAATATTACTACTACTAATGGAAACAAATATTGGGTTTATGTGTCTATTTTAGGGTCAGGTAGGGTTTAGAGAGTCATAAAATAATTTATGTAGAAAAAGACAAAAAAGTTTGCAGGGTAACTGAAGTTAGAAATAGTACAGAGTGTTTCATTTTAAGTCACTGTTTCATATCCAGGTTTATTCGGAAGTGTTGCTGTTAATACTTTGAATGTTATTAAATGAACAGGTGGTCTGATTCCTGTGGCTACTGAATAATTATATTATTCAGAAGAAACTAACCCTTGGTAACTGTGAGCTGGGTTATAACTATATAACTCCGGAAAAGGTGATGGGACTGTCCTGTCTTGCTTTATGCAAAGGACTTGAGCTTCAAGGAATGTCCCAGGAAACAGCAATTGTCAAGGCTGCCCCCTCCTCAAGCAGAACAGCTTGTAGCAAATACTGAACTTCGATCTTTCCAGTGTGAGCTAATATAGCCATAGCCTGCTGAAGATTGCGGCGAATCATAGAAAATAGATTGTATATCCACCAATTATGACCTGTTATCAAGAACAAAAACTCATTGCAGGATCAGGCACCCAGTAAGCGCTTCAGTTTACCCCAAGTACAAATTGCTACCTGTAACTTTGTATTATTCTGCTAAGAAAATGGCATGTAGGTATGCTAATTTACATTACAGAAGCCTGAAAAGCTAAATAACACTTTCAAAATGTTGAACTCCACTGATTCTTATTTCTGATACTGTATAATAAGAAGGCAGATTTAAAGACAACTGACTCATTGAAGAGATAGCAAAAGTACAAAGTAGGGAACTAGTTCTGTATGTCCTGTTATTGAGGACATCTCTGTATCATAAAGCGGAACTTTTTATAAAAATCCTTATGTAGTAGAGCTTGTATTAACACGGGAACCAGAATCACAGTAGTCGCATCAGAGCCATTCCCAGGTAAATTTTTGTGGGAAGTGTTCCCAAACTCTTTGTAGTGGTAAGGTAGCATCTTGGTACTTTTCTACAGAGCTACATAGTATTGCTACATAGTATGCACAAGCTCAGGTTTGTGTCACTCCCAGCACATCTGCATCGTGCTTCAGTGCCTGTCTCAGATGTGCCTCTGTCTGCAGTTGCAAGAGGACCACTATGACAGAATACAATTGTGATTCATGACCGTCCTAAGACCTTTGAATAATTCCAGAGTGAAGTAAGGAGCTCTAGTGTAAATAAAACATGAGGCCAGTGATTCTGTAAAATGCCTTGGGATAAGCACCATCATTTTAGTGCCCCTTTAGTTCTTTGGAAACCTCATCTGGAATTAGGACTACCAGGCACTAACACAAACTATGTAGTTAATGTCAAAAATAAAGGCTTCTGGGTTCATATCCCACACTTTCCAAACATGACCTTCAAAGTACAGGCTCAGCTGATTCCTACAAACCATTTAACTGTTTATTAGAAGAACAAGTATTTCTTTCTTGCTATCTTTCTGGCATATTGAAATCTACTTCTTTTTCTATGTTGCTTTTTTCTTCATAGATAATAATGGGTGTGATCCTACTTTATAATTTACTCGGAGTGAGTGCCTTGGTCGGTGCTGCTGTCATTGTACTGTTAGCTCCGATACAGTACTTCATAGCTACGAAGCTGGCTGAGGCTCAGAAGAGCACTCTCGTAAGTAAATTATTTCAGTGACATTTATGATCCAGAAATGAGAACAGGGAACCAGGGGTTCTTGATGTTAGTCAGCATTCATTGCAGAGGTTTGGGCAAGCTGTCCCTTAATTCTGTCATCCCTCCCTTTCTGTTTTTCTGTGTCTCAGTATCTCTTCCTTCCTAACATTTGTCAGACAAGAATCTGAAAAAAAGTATGTGGGCCTTGACCTGCCTTCTCTGCAGAGAGTATTTTTCACCCAGCTAGCACGGTTTCAGCTGAATTCAATCCTATGAAAGGGTCTTATTCCTACATTCAGATATTGTATTTCATGGGATGTTAGCAAACAGTACAAACGACTGATAAATTACAGGAGGACAGTATTAAAGAATGTGTACAACCCCCCTCTGAAATGGCTAGAGACTTTGCTCTCACCCCAAGCTTTGGTATTCCCTAAAAGTCAGCTGGCATTGCTGGATTAATATCTATTTTATGTTCTTCAGTGCTGTAAGTTTATTTTGATGTCTAATTTAGTTCACCAATTAGCAATGTTTTCTGATACTTTGTCTAACTTTTAACTTTATTCTCATGATCCTTGAACTTTTTTAATCAGTCTTTGATGTTTGGGTCTCCAAATATTTAAAGATCCTTGTTACCTTAATATTCAGGAAGCAAATTATACATACGTAGATCTAATCTTCAGCACAGTTCAATCCTGTTGAGTTGTGCCAATTTATATCAACAGAGGAATTACCTTGCATAACTTCAGAAATCGTCTGAATCTTTCTTTTTGCTCCTTTCTGAGTTCTTTTGACTCATAACATCTTTTCGATTATAATTTTACTAAAACTTGTGATTACTGTTTTCAGGTGAGGAGCAATTAGCTAAATATATCAATAAACATCTCACCTATTTTCATGACCATTATGTATGAATCCCAGAATTAATCTTATATCAGCAATTACACACATGTAGTCATCTGTCTATTGTTACGGACACCATTGACCTAGTAATCCACCTCCCTGAGTTTCACCCTGTATTTGAAGGATTTGGATGTTTTGTTTTATTTTTCTTCTCAGAGCAGGGTCACTTAATTTCCCCTCGTGATTGTAAGCACTTTAATATCTCCAAAAACCATGAAATTCTGTATTGTTTTACTCAGTATGACAACTGAAAGCCAGTACAAAATCCTGAACAAAAAAATTATAAATCTTTAATGAATTTTACAACAGAATTGAAGGGAAAAGAACATTCTCATTAAAACTACAAATAATTATCAATTTCTTACCCTTGTTTTCTTTTGAAATGAAGGACTATTCTACGGAAAGATTAAAGAAAACCAATGAGATACTAAAAGGCATTAAGTTATTAAAGCTGTATGCCTGGGAGCACATATTTTGTACTAGCGTGGAAGAAACAAGAATGAAGGAACTCACCAGTCTCAAAACCTTTGCACTTCATACATCTCTTTCCAGTAAGTAACTATGTTTTTAGCTCTTGGAAATGGATCCTGTTTATGTCAGCATTCCTCCTGACTTCAGCTAAAGCGAGATACAGCTGTGCCTATGACACTTGGGTTTTTTTGTGTGTGGAATGTGATTAAAATAAAAAGGCATGACAAATATATAACACAGAAAGTCAAAAATATAGAGCATGTCTTGTTGATTTTTTTTTGTAGTAAGTTTTCTGTCACCTTCATTATGACACTACAGTTATGAGTTGCTTTATAGTAAGGAGGCTGCAGATAATATTAGCAGCTCCGATTACTGCAAAGATAAATTAGTGTCTGAAAGAAATTGTATTCTCTGTAATGTCGAAGAGCTGAGAGGGTAATGTTTTAGTTGTGTTGCATAATAATTGTGCACATAAAACTTTTTATCCCAATTCACTATAGTATACAAATGAGATAATTCCTTGGCTTGTTTGTTTGTGTGTTTAAGATCTCTCTCTGTCATGGAAGGAAATTTCTTCCTGCAGATAAATTTTCCTTTGGGAGTTCTAATTACTTGAATTGGAAATAACTGGATTCTTCTAGTGCCATACAACTAATTGTAAAACTGTTTAGTTTCATAAAATCTGATGCCTGTTTTATTTCTCTTTCACAGTTTTTATGAATGCGGCCATACCAATAGCAGCTGTTCTTGCAGTAAGATATGTTTTTTTCACTTTTCCTTATAAAAAGGGAGAGAGAAAGAGAGGGGGAGAAAGAAAGAAAGGACACCATTGTTATGGTAGGACATATTTCTCATAAAACCGGCAGATGAGTTAATGTGCCCCTGCTAACTGTAGGATAGCATGACACTGGAAGTGCCCATTCCCAGAGCTGCTGTTTCACCAGCTGTGGTTTGGATTGGTAAAAACAAAAAGAAATATAAATTTTTACTCTAAGAAAGAAAGAAAAAAATCATTGCAACTTGAAAGGAGACCCATTCTGAGAAGCTCTCATTTTGCAGGGGTTTTGGGTGGCTTTCCTTTTCTGTTGTCTAGCAGCGAAAATCATTCCTGTTTCCAAATGCATTATAAGCCACCATTTCAGTTTTCAAGAAAGGGTATTCTGCAGTTTAAGGAGAAATAAATTTTGCTTGTCCTCTGGCCAGGTTTAAATCTCAGCCTAATGCGGTAGAGGAACGATAGCATGCCGGTCAGTAAGGAGTCTTCATAGACCAAATTCTGAGGGCATTACTCAGAGTATGCTGACAGTGTGTACCAGAATTGGGTGAAATATGACCATAGTTCTGCATCTGTGAAAAAAAACTATAGGATTTATTAGATTCTTACTGATTTTTCTGGGTTGTGTGTTTCCTCTAAATCCTGAAGCCAATTACAAAACTTTACAAAACTAAGTGCTTTGATTTTACAAAGAAATTTTTTTCATTCTTAAATGTGTAAATCTCTTTAAATCATTGGCAATTTTTTAAATTTTTTTTTCACTTTAATAGAAGACACCTTTCTGTTCAGTTTACTGGGATTTCCAATAAATTGAGGTATATAGTTATTTGCCTTAGTTGAGCAAAATATTTTGCTTGCTGCTCTTGTCAGTCTTTTTCAAGAGTCTTTATCCTGACATGCCCTTCTCCTGATGTGACAGACCTTTGTGACTTATGCGTATACCAACGACAGGCCGCTGCAGCCCGCCCAGGCCTTTGCATCACTGTCATTGTTTCACATCCTGGTCACACCACTGTTCCTGCTCTCCACTGTGGTTCGTTTTGCAGTCAAGGCTATCATAAGGTAAGTGGCCTTTCCAGTTTCTCCAACTCTTGAACACCTGTGTTCAGTAATACAACAGGGAAGGTGCTGGAGAAAAAGGTTGGTTTTACCTGCTCATGTGGAAGAGGATTTAAAGGTGGGACTCTGATGTTCAAAAATGTGAGAGAAATCAGAGTAACCATGTCCTTTTACTGCATGATACAGTGACAAAGAAATGTTCCATTCGTTTTATAATTTCACCGAGTTTGGCAGTCCAGATTCAGAGCCGGACTGTCCTTCCTTGGGATACGCGCCTCTTCTCACAGTGTAGCCACCCACCGTCGCTCTCACCTAGTACTTTTCTGGGCTCTTGTCAACACAGAGGGAGATGAGAGACTGGTATGAAGCTATCTAGCCAGACTGGCGCTGCTGATGCAAGGAAGAGCAACTGACTGCACTCTGCCTCCACGAAGGGTGCATTGTGCTTTAAGTGAGAATTTATTATTGTCCTGCCTCTCATTGTCTAGCACTAGCAGGGACTCTCTTAGGAAAGAGAGTGGATGGAGGAACCTTGGACACTGAAGGATTAGTTGCTTAAGGGAAACTGAGCCCTACAGGACTTCTCTTATAGAGGAAATGTTCCCCTGAATGGCAGTAAAGAGATGCAGGAGAGGAAGCATAGCAAGGCAGACGTGTGAAGGTTAGGGATCTGCGTGGCAGGACAGTGAGGAAGTTGGCATGAAGTGGAAAAGATTCAAAAAAAGAAGGTACTCATAAAATGTGTTGCTTCATCAGAAACTTATATGTTCCAGGCATTTATTTCTGCAAATAGCCCGACAAAACAACTTCCTTCGTGCTGGGCTATAGAGCACTTAATCTCAAGGGAGCTGATTGGTAGTAAGTTAAATTTCAGACTTTTGGCTGTTGCGTCAGTGGTCTGTATGGAAAGAGTCATGGTCATGGGGCAGTTACATAGCCATACACACTGCCAAGATGTCCCAAGAGGCACAAGCTGACACCTGACTGGCAGTAACATGTCAGATGCCAAGCACTAGCAGCACGTGAAGACCAAACTAACCTTTCCATCCAGAAACATAGTTCCTTCTTGCCAAGACTGAGGCACATTGGCAAGGTATTGCATTGCTGCTGCCACTGTCTCTTTTTGGTGGGTAACAATAATAACAAATAGCAGTCAAAGGGACTTCAGGCTCCACAGCTGTCATTTGCCACATTTGCTTTAAAAAAAAAAAAAAATTCAATAGGGTTTATTTTTATCAAAGCAGCAGCAGGGCCACATGAGAGATTTTCCCTACGTTGAAAATTATTTCCGACTAGTGGAAAATCTCAAGTCTCCTTTATAAATCATCCCAGCCTCTACATCTCTGCACTATGTTTAGCATAGCCCTAATATCAAAATGGTGTGTACATTTTCCTTAGCACTGCTGGCCACCCCTCAGGACATTATTTAAAGACCATATTTGCCAAAACAAGCTTTGCCCTTTGGCAAACTTATTTCCTAACTTCTTTCTCCCATGAACATCATGTCCCCCAAGTGAAGAATGAAGAATGCATGCTTGGCCACTCCACAGCTCTATCATCAATCAAATACATATATATGAGTATGCACTCATTTGTGTTATGATTAAGTGCTTATACTTTGGTCAGAATCTCCATTTTATTGTAAAAAGTAGTTCTAGTACCATGAAAGCTTTTGAGCATACCTGTCCTTATTCAAATGCAAGGTAATGGTTGATGTCTTCTTAGGCAGATGATCAGAATGAGGTCACTTAATCTTCTACAAGAAGATAAATTCTTGCTTGATGCATTAATGTAAGACTGAAATTCCGATATGGGAGTTACAGACATAAATTTTCCCTTTAAAAGAGGAGATAGGAACAGGTATACTGGCAGGAGGAAACAATGACAACAGCAGTGCTTTCTTGCTAATCAGTATCTCTCTGGCTTGAACATGTATTGATAATTTCATACGAAATGCTCAGACAGGCCTTGAAACAGGACTACTTTCCCATTTGCAGGTTAATGTTCAAATCACTGATCTGAAGTCATATGTCCTTCTGCTTTCTCAGGCTCTGGCTCAATGCACCTTGATTTTAGTTTTTGCAAAGTAATATAGCTTCACCATGACCAGGGGGTGCTTTTATTCATCCCTTCCCCATAACGATAAAGAGCCAGGTGCTTACGGCACTCTGAAAGGAAGCGGGGCAGAAAGAGGATCAAATCCTTCTGTGACAAAGAATAAATTGTACCTGTGCACTGTATTTCCCAGGGGACAGTTTTAAGAAGTAGGCAAAGAGAGCTCTTGCTGTATTTATCCAAGGCGGGCCATGGCTGTGCTGATTTGTGCAGTATTCAGTCCTGTTTGCATGCAGTGGATGCAAAAGCTGTGTTCAGGATGCACCTAGTGCATTGGCATTTTCAGAGCATGTAGGTGGGTGAAAGACTCATTTATGCATCCTGACTGTGTGTAGGCATGAGAAAGGCACAGAAGAGATAAGCCTGCCAAGATGGAAACCATTCCCACAGAGCTCTAGTGGCACTCACATGACTAGCTCTCTTCTTCATTCCCAGCTACCAGTATCATGTTTAATTGTTTTCATCTGTCATTCTTCCACATAAATATTTTTTCACTTGCCATCAGGGCAGCAGACAGTCCAATAGGAAAACAAAAGTATCCCATTAACTTCTTTTGGAACACTTCTGATACATCCTGCTGGCTGGACTGCACAAAAATGGAAATGTACTCATGGAAACCTGGGTTTATTTAACTCACTGTCCTGTTTTCTTTCAAGTGTACAGAAGCTGAATGAGTTTCTCCTGAGTGATGAGATTGGAGATGACAGCTGGAGAGGTGGGGACAGCTCTGTAGCTTACGAATCCTGTAAGAAGCACACAGGACTTGTAAGTTCTGGTTTATGACACTGAGTTTCAAAGCAGAGAGGCCATATAGCCCCGTACAAAGCCAATGGACTAGCTGATAGGGCTCAGGAGTTTTGAATTCTAGCCTGACCATAACATTGCCCAGTTTTGCCTCTTCTATGTCAGGATTTCTGTCTTTCTATGACACAAAGGGTCCCCAAACACATTTAAGCATTGCTGGAGTGCCAGTAGTAATAGGAGCCCCATAACACACCAACACATTTACACATGGTTCAAATTCATCCTTCTCAGTTTTTATAAAAGGCCGAGGTGCATTTCCTGTGGGTATGGGGTTTGTACTGTATATTTCCAGTACAACCCATAGTATGTTTGGCACCTTTAGGTAGGACCAATTCCTGCTCTGGGAAATTCAGAATTGAAGGTGGGAAAAACAACACCAAACTTTGTGAAATAGGAATTAATTCCAAAGTGGTATTTCTGGAGTGCTAAACATATAATGAATTTCAGAAAAAATTAAGGGCAAAAAAACACAAGGGAGATGATTTAGAAAAAGATATTTTTTTTATTTTGATGTTTTTCAACTGTTTCAAACTGATTGTATATCATTTGAAATGTGACTGAAACGTGAAGACAGCAACAGAAAGAAAGGATTAGCACAAAATAAGTTTTATTTTGAGCTGAATTAAATTAGTTTGTCAACCTGAAACAACATTTTTTTTGTTTTTCTGGCTTAACAGCTATAATAAAGGAAACAAAAATGAAATTGTTTCGGCATTTATTTTGCTTCTTTTGTCCACCTTTTGCCCAACCCTACAGAGAGAATCAGACAGTCTAGATGATGGGGAGAGGGAAAAATGAAGGTAATATCTGTAAAAGTTAAATCATTCACTGTAGACAGCCCAGCTCTAAGGAATCACTAAGATTATGCTGATTCAGCTCAATACAGTGGCACTTACAAATACCACAGGTAGCTCTGAATGAGCTAGCTCCACAGTCGCTATTATGCATTAGTGAAGTACTCTGCACAAGCTAATTTTATATGCTTCTCGCTCCTGCAGCTATTCTGCTTCCAAGAACCAAACTGGTAACTCTGCATGTCATTACACTTTTACTGACACAGCTTTGTTTGGAGCTACCTCAGGTAGGGCAGACTTACTGAGTGGTTTAAGGAGGATGACAGAGCTGAAATTTGGGATAGTTATGCATGGGAAACCAAAAATCAGATATTTCCTGTGCTTCAGTTAAGGGTGTTTAAAATATTACAATATGTGCATCACAGTAGTGTGTCTGTATTATCATACATATTTGTGGTTTCTTCTTGTGACCTACAATGGTGGAAGGAAAGGGAACGGACTGTCTATTTTATAGGGAACCAAATGCTGTCCTCTCTTGAGAATTCCAACTTTTTTTCTTTCTTCATTTCACTATGTAGCACACCAAGGCCATCAACAGGAGGCAACCCTTGAGGTATCAGCTTGAAAACTATGAACAGCCAACAAGGAAGCAAACACGTCCTGTGGAGATAGATGATATCGCAATCAAGGTGGTTTGAAAACAGTCTCATTCTTTACGAGGAGCAGGTCCTCCTGCAACAGTATCAGATAGTGCCCAATGGCTGCTGTTCTTCCAAAGGCAAATTGTCCATTGCAAGAACAAGCCCTTAAATAAATTCTCACTTTAGCCAAAAATAAAGTGAGAAAAATTTGCTTCACACCAGCTCTTTATAGTGATTCCCTGTCTTCTCAGGAAACAAAGAGGCATCATGAGTCTAAAGGAACAAAACCCAGATAATCTGATGTACAGAAATTAATATAAATTTTTTAGACTTTCCCTTCATGCACTTCTCTTTCACTCTTAGAACCAAGATAAAAACTTTTGAGTCATGTTTTGACATTTATTATAACGTGTCATTTATTATGACATTATTTTAAGTCATGTTGGCCAACTTTTCCCCACATGTGTGCTCTGTGTAAAGGAAGTATGCACAAAAAGGCTAGGGTCCACTGGGGAACATTTTTCTTATGTCCAGCATAAACCTTCTGAATATTCAATTTGTACTTTGGGAACACATTCACAAGTGGCCATATATCACAATATGCAGAATGATTCATTCCTTGATAAGCTATGCTATTTAGATTGTCACCTGTGAGGTTTTGTGATCATTATTCTTAGTCTTTAGTCTTATACTTGACAGAATGAAAGTATTTGGTAAATAGCATTCAACTCAAGATCATCCCTTTATCACATTTCATACAGTATATATATTTGTGTACATAACTTTTCTTATTCACAAACTTTTCTGAGTTTGGCAATCTTTACTAACCTAACTTGTTTTTTTGTGTATGAGCATACCTCACCATGTCTATTAATCACAGATTTATTTTAGTAACATATTTTAAGTCTGAACTAGGCATTCTATTTTTTTTCCCCTCATGTGTTTATATATCTGACATGCGGTAATTGTTTTGTAGGTGACCAATGGATACTTTTCATGGGGAAGTGGTTTAGCTACATTGTCCAACATAAACATCAGAATCCCAACAGGTAGGATACATGCACACCTTAAACATGAAATATGTAATATCAGATTGCTACTAATTCCATTTCTTGATTTTGTGAAAAGCACAGACCCACACATTTAGATTTTTATGAGAAAAAATGAAGGTTAAACATCTATAGAAGGTCATGAACTATATTGGTCATATAGCTACATCGTTAACCTAAAGTACTATAAATAAACAAAAAATTGCCTTGTTTTTATATACCTATGTAGTTTATATAGTTTTTATAATAGCAGGAACAACATCAAAGGTAAGAATAAATACGAAAAAGATGGCTGCAAAAAAATTCATTATTATTTTTAATAGACAAATTAAAAAAAGAAAGAGAGAGAACTCCAGACTCGTTTAAACCAAGAGTCCATCTAATTCAGTATTTTATTTCCAGCAGTGGCTACCTACCAGTGGGTGCACAGGGACACAGTGGTAATAAATTATACTTCTCTTACCATTCTTCAACATTACAGTCTCCCAGTTCACAACTATTGTCATCTCAGCAGATTCCTTGAGCCTCACACAGTTTGTCTGTCAAGAAATCCTCAATGAATTTCTCTTTCAATGAATTTCTCTTTGTCGAGCTGAGCTCCTGTCATTTCTTGCATCCTCAGTGTCTTTTGTCTAGGAGTTTCACAGGTTTACAAAACATTGATTTGTTTTGGAAGACTTACACAGCAAGTGCAAAAAGTGGCAAATTAGTAGTAGTAGTAGTAGCAGTATCACTGTAAAATTCCTAGCACTGTCTGTTGGTATTTCATGTTATTAAGTAGTCTTATATTTTATTTCTATATCTTATCAAGTGCACAGTTTTAAAATAGCTTATTACATTAGGTTGACACATCTTCAATATCACATAGTTATTAAGTAATTCCAAAGTACTATACACAATCCCAAAGTCTATATCATTTGTTTCGCAGTAGCATTAGGTGTCCTATACATGGATAAACAACACCTCTTTGTGCTGGCCCAGTGCAACATATAACACCAGCAGAAGGTCTTTGCTCCAAGGAGTTTACAACCTAAGGCCACGGGTTTACAAGCTGGGTGAGCCAGTCTAAGATTTTACCTCCTTTAGAAGGAATGAGACCACTAACTCCCCAGCTGGTGAGAAGTTTACCTGGCAAATGCACCAGCTGGCACAGTTAGTGAGTTCAGTTAGTTAATGGGAAGATCTGAGAAGCACCATTGCCACTGCAGAGTAGGACTGAAGGTAGTAAAGTGGCAGTGGGGGAAGGAGGAGTACAGCAAAGCAGAAAAGAATAATGGATCTTCTTTCAGTTGTAGTCACTTTTTAGATTGACCGATTTTCACAGAACCACAGACTGAATAATCACTTCCCACTTTATATCATTTTACCCTAAATAACTTCCATAAAGTAACACACTCCCATACAATGGATGATAATATCTGTCAAAGCAATAGTCTCATTCCTTTGGAGATTAGTGTGTACTTGTACTGTCCATTAATGTAGTTTTTCATAGATTAATACATGCAATATTGCCTGTTTACGTAGTGGATGCTAACAAATGTAACCAACTATTTCAAGTGCTCTAGAACTGGATCTAGTTAGGCCTTGTAGACTTGAGTAGAATTAGGTTTTTTTCTTTTTTGAAAATGTGTTTGTTATTTTTATTATCATAGGTCAGATGACAATGATTGTGGGTCAAGTTGGCTGTGGGAAGTCATCACTTCTCCTTGCTATATTGGGAGAGATGCAGACGCTGGAAGGAAAAGTTCACTGGAGCAAGTATGTCTCATATAGCTATTAATTGCTGTATTCATTTAAGAAGGTGGTAGTTGGGTTTTGCTATGAGAAATGTAAACTTCATGTCTCAGAACTGCATGTTAAATGATTATTATCACCCAGATCTCTGGAAGACATCACCTGCAAACTTATGAAAGATTTTCATTGCTGTTCTGTTCATGGTTCAGAGCAGACTAAGAGGATAGTTTGGTGATTAATATCTAATATATTAGCCCTAGCAAATGACTTGAATAGAAAGCATATACTATTCCTGTTACCCAATAGTCTTCAACGGTGGGAGTTGGCTCTGGATTTATGGTACTTACTATAACTGAAGTCAGCATTGCTATGCTGCTACTGTACACACCTGTGAAAGCATGACAGGCTGGAGCTTCTTCAGTCGAGTGGTATGTGTGGGGTACCAGCATGCAGAAAAGGCTGTCTTTCCCATTCAACGCTGCTGATGCTAGCAGAAAAAAAAAGTCGATATAATAACACGAGAGCAATGCTTTTCCCCTTCCCTGGTAATTGCCCAAGCCTTGCTTATGGAAGTCAGTGTTATTCTTCACAGTAATACGTTCAGAAAGCAGCCTGAAGACACCGAATACCTAGAGACTAAAGGCTCTGAAGAAGGTATTGCTGAAGAGGGAACTGCTAGTGAGGTCAGGCCTCGGGATCCACATGGATTCAGACCCAGTGAATGAGAACTTCCTATGGAGACTAGGTGGGGCAGCAACCACTCTTCCAGCCTAGGCAGGGCAGAAGGTGTGGAAGGGATGTGCTGTAACCCCAAGACTTGTTCTTTGACTTTAAAGATCAGTTCTATTTCCTTAAAACTACCAAGCCAAACTCTTCTTAATTAGCTTCTTGAGGAGAAAGGGTGAATTTTGTCACAGAGACCAATACTTTGTCACTCTGTCGCTTGAATAGTAACCTTTGTCATCTTTTTCTTACGGCAATGTTGCAGGCTGGATATTTTTGCTTTTCCTGTGTTAGTATGTGTGGCATTTTTTGTTCCCCAGACATATTTCACTGTCTGCTATTCTAAACATATGATCTCACTGGAGTAGCAGGTACAGTTGGAGCCAAGGCAAGATTAACTTTAGTTTAATTATATGTGAGTTTAAACTTTGAAGGAAGAAGAATATGTGACTTAGCACGGTTAATTTCTTTGAGACATATAATGGAGATTTTGACTTCCCAATCAGTCATTTTTTTTCTGAGTAGTTTAAGAAAATACAAGGAGTGAGCAGAGTCTACCTTGAAATTATTCTCACAATTGTTTTCAAAGATATATTTGAGAAAGAATCAAATTGTCCTAGAGAAAGATATGGAATCTTACGAACATTAGACAAAAAGAGAAATCTTAGAAAGGTACTGGAGAAAGATTATGAAATAGTATTTAAGCTTCACATCGTTCAAGAGGAATTAAGGTCATATTGTCAGTTTATTAGCAGTCTATACATAACCAAATAGGTAACTCAGGTTTTAGCAAGCATCTCAGGCCTTACTGAGTGACTTTTTTTCATTGCATACTGTGATATAGCTGATGCAAACATGGTTATGTTTTGCTGATAATTTCAGACTGCCTGACAGACAGATGAATACAGAAGGATACTTCAGGTATTTAACTAAGTGGATCCTATACTTTACAAAACCATAATAAAGGTCCTATTTACCCTCTTAAATCCCTTTCCATGTGATTCCACATGCATGACTAACACAGCTACTGATCCAGGGATGAAATGCGGGCTAAGTGAATTCCCCAACAAATTCAGGTATAACAACACAGTAATAGTAATGATGGATCAAATTTCAGCCCCAGTTATATTGGGGTAATCCTGCAATGCATCATTGTGAAAGCCCATCATGGGACTTGAATATCTTGTTGCTGTTCTGGTTGACTTCAATGAGAGCTGTCTGTCCTACTGTCAGGGTTGTCACTGGTTTGGGATCTTATGGAAAGAAAGCACGTTAGTGTATCTTTCTGTAAGAGATCTTGGCCAGGGCAAATCTTATGGGCCAGATCTCAGTTTTTCCCAGTTACATGAGACATGCCTCAGCTACATTACAAACCTTAGAGAAGGAATTGGCTTCTTGTTTTCCCAGTGAGCAAGCAGCTAGAGAGACTTATTAAACACTGAAGCATGAGGCTAGCCAGATGCAGTGATTCAGCTGAGCCCATTTCAGATCTGAGTTATTAATTATTAAGTCTATACAGGGAGAGATGTGAGGAATATGCAGACACATGTATTCCCCTCATCCACAGCAAGCCAAACAGTCAGAATCATCTTCTCAGACTGCCAAGCAAAGAGGAGTGCCTAAGTGGAAGCCCTTCACTTGGTATACCTTTTCTGTATATTGAACTGGTGTCTGTGCCAAGAGGTTGTTGTGTACTAAGTGAAAGGCATGGGAAACACAAGAATTATAAAATCAGTCCTCCTAAATCGCCTGTTCTGTCCTCAAGCTATGGAAAGCTTGAAGAAAAATTAGAAGTCAGTGCTTCCCTCAGAAAGATTACAAGTACAACTACTTACCAAAAGGTTGCAACCACAGTAACTCAGAAAACACCAAAGGGCATTAACCACAGATGGATAAATGGTCAGCCAGATAAATGTCAGTAGCCAAAGTCAGCATACCTGCTAGCCTGCTCTGCTGCTGTGGCTGGTTGCAGGGACAGGAATAAATTCCTCCAAACTGCAGGACAGTATTTGTGTAAATGATCAGTCCTTCCCTTGCATCAAATCTCTTACATATATTCGCAGAGGAAATGGTTCATTCTGTCGTTACAGTGGTATCCTAGAGATCTTGTATGCCTTTTTTCTCCTCCATTTTCATTTTGTCAGCTGAGGGAATCTGGGCCTGGTTAGAGATGCATTAGTCTATTTTAAAACGTCCAGAGCTAGCATAACAGTTGTCCAAACTTCAACAAGGTGTCTTTTTGACTTTTCCTTAAAACCTTGATTTAAATTCATTTCTGTATTATTTCAGCTTATATATTCAAAATCTTATAAGAATAAATAATCAGTCTAATCAGTTTGGTCTTTCCTACGATTTCAGACTTGAACTTACCACTCCTCATTTTGGGGAATATGTATATTTTATGGTGCAGAATAAAAATCAGTATAAATAGCCACATTTAAATAAATAAAGAAATTAGAGCAAAGATTACTAATCCGAGCATGCAAATAAAATACTCTTTTTAGAAACCTCAGGAGCTTCAGTTTCAGCCTACTCCCATGCCCTGCAATCGCATCACTCTTTCAGATTCAGTAGAGTAATAAAGTACAAGACCAAATATTTAATCCCCTTATTTGTGAAGGCCTCAGCTCAGCAAAGGTCTTATATGTTTTTACTCATGAGATTATTAATGAACGTGGGTTCTCACAGAAATCTCACTCATAATTTGGGAGAATTAAAGTGTATTTGTCAAGCTAAACATGGAGTGAAATATCTAACCAAGGAAGAAGAGTTTAAGAAACAGATCTTAAAATTGGTCCTTGCTCATTCAGATAATCTATTTGATTCTAATGGCAAGCATATTAAATCTGGTATGGAATTGCAAGGGGTCTTGCAAGGCTTGTGCCCAGTTTTTGCTAAATTGTACTTCAGAGGGCACTCCCAAACATATACACGAAAGCATTATCCCTTTTTCTACCATTGCAATGCTCTGCTGATGGAAGTTTGGCTTTTTTTTGAGAGAGGAAATATAGGTTTTCTTACTTTTTGTTTGGTTTGACCTAATTTCTGACCTCTTTTTAATCTCTCATTAGACTCCATCTTTTGCTTTCTTGTAACTTTTTTCCATTGTAGAGAAGACTGGAAGCTCCTGCT